ATATAGACCTATAAGGCTCCTATAACGGTAACTACCCACCTGAGAATGTCCTAGACTTAGGGCTTAGTTTTTTGCTTTTTGTTGAACCCCTCTTTTCCCCAGTCCCCCTGCTTAGGGTTTAGGGTTTACGGATCTGGGGCTTTAGAGTTAGAGGTTTACGAAGCTAGGAAGTTCGGGTTTCTTAGGCACCCTTAGGGGCGTTTAGAGTTCAGGGTTTTAGGGGCTTTGGGGTTTTACGGCTTCTGTGGTGGTGATTTGGGGCTTTAGGGTCTTAGGGCTTTAGGGTCTTGCGACTTAGGGATACCTAAACCCTAAACCCTAACTTCCTAAACCTCTAACTCTAAAGCCCCAAATCCCTAAACCCTAAACCCTAGAGCTTCAGGGTGTGAGGCTGTAGGGTTTGTTAGGTGCTTTAGGGCTTCGGATCTTGCGGCTGAGAGCTCAGACTTTCCAACATCAAAATCCCTTTAGGGTTTAGGGTTTGGGGTTTTGGTTCAGAAGCATACCTCAAACCATAATAGGATACCTCAAAGGTAAGTTCCCTAAACACTGCGCCGTAAACCCCAAAGCCTTCAAGGTATTATTCCGGAATCAATGAAGGGGTTCCCCTAAACCCTAAACGCTAAACCCTAAGCCCTAAACCCTGAAAGGTATCATTCCTAAACAAAGGATTTTGGAAGGTCTCGGGGTGCTCCGGCACCCATATTTATCATAGAACCCTCATAGCATCCCTCATAGAATTTAGGGTTTAGGGTTTAGGGTTTGGGGTACCCTTTAAGGGAACCCTGTCAAGGAACCCTATTCCCTGAGGGTCCAAGTACCTAATGATCAATATACTCTTCTGAATCCTAACCTACAGAACTACTATCCGTAACCCAAGTACATGATTATTAGGTCCTTTGGACCCTTAAGGATTCAGCCTAAACCCTAAACCCAATGCTATACCCTAAACCCTAAACCCTAAATACCCTAAATACCCGAAACCCTAAACCCTTCTACTTACTCAGGCCCCAGAAACTCGAGCGGCAGCCTGCTGGAAGATGGAAGACGCAGAGCTCAAGCTCTCACCTGGGTTTAGGGTATAGGGTTTAGGGGTTTAAGGGTTTAGGGTTTAGGCTGTGAATCCCAAAGCGTCCAAAGGACCCAATAATAAGATACTTGGGTTGAGGATCATAGTTTTGTAGGTTACTATTTTGGGAGAGCCTATGGGTAGTTCTCTCAATTAGGGTCCCTTTCAGGGTCCCTTTTACAAGGGTGCCATACTATATTGGGGACCTAAAAAGGGACTCTAATTTAGAGAGCTACCCCTAAACCCTTAACCCTATAAACCCTAAACATTCTTGGGTGCTTGGGCCCTTCGGGCCGGCCCAAGCGCCGAAGCCCTTCCTGAAGCCTGGTAAAGCTATCCTTTTTGAGGGTTGAGGGTTCGGGGTTTCTAGGGTTTGGGGTTTAGGGCTTGGGGGTTCATAGGGTTTGGGGTTGAGGGTTTGGGGTTTCGGGTTTAGGGCCCAACATTTTGGGGTTCCTTGTTCTGTAGGCTTTTTGGAGGTTCAGGTACTTCCTAAACCCTAAACCTTAAACCCTAAAGCCTAAACCCTAAACCCTTAACCCTAAACCCTGAAGGCTCAAGATCACCCCAACAGCCTTCTTGTATGGCCTTCGGGCCCTGCAAGCTTCAACGCATGGGGTCGTTTTCTAAAGCAGGGTCCCTGTTTTCGGGTTCCTTAAAGGGATCTAAAAAGGTTTCGACAAGGGTTTCCTTAAAGGTTCTATATGGGTACTTATCTAAATTAGAATCCCTTTTAGGGTCCTCTTTAACCGGGTGCCCTACTATGGTGGGGACCTAGAAAGGGGCCTTAGTTCAGAGAACTACCCATATGAGTCGTTAGAGCCCCAGGGCAAGACTCAAGGACCAGCTTCAACAGTGTCTTTACTCTTCGAATTCTGCATTCCTGGTGTCTTCTTTCGGTTTGTGCTCACCGCACCGTTGCTTGTGTAAGCTGCGTCTTCCCCCTGGGGCAGCCTTGGGACTTTAGGGTTTAGGGTTTAAGGTTTAGGGTTTAGTGTTTAGGGTTTATAGGGCTGATCCTCTATAATGGCTTCGGGGGAGGACTTATAGGGTTTGGCGACTTACGCTTAGATTTGGGGCCGTTCGCATTTCGGGTTTGAGTCACCATGGGCTTTGGGGCTCTACCTATAGTCTCCATTGTAGTTCCTTTTTGGGGATGCCTTAGAAAATCCCTAATATATAATTGGTTAAACCACAAAAAGGAACTACAATGGAGACTACAGGTACGTAGGATTACATCTGGGGGGTGTGAGGTTTCGGGTTCGTGGGGGTGCAGGAGTTCGGGTTTCAGGTTGGAGGCCAAGGGTCTACCTGTAGTCTCCATTGTAGTTTCCTTTTTTGGTTTAACCAACTATATATTGAGGATTTTATAAGGCATCCCCAAAAAGGAACTACAAATGGAGACTATAGGTAGGGTTTGAGATTCCAAACCCTAAACCCTAAACCACTAGAAGCCCTAAACCCTTCGAGGGGTTGAAGATCCCTTGTTGCGTCGATTGCTCCAAGACTTGCTGTGCGAAGTCACGACCTGCCTGGAGCCCAGATCCCAATCAGCAATCATTGTCAGAGAGAGAGAGAGAGAGAGAGAAAGATACAAACAGAGACAGCGAAAGAGCCCCAGCAAAACCCCGAAACTCTGAACCCTAAACCCTGAACCCTGAACCCTAAACCCCAAAACCCTGAACTCCATGGCGCTGCTAAGGCTGCAACTGTCTTCTGACTCCAAAGTTGGCAATTTCACCTCCTCCTTGCCAGCGTTTGGGTCCCATGGAGCCCGGAATGGGTGGATTCTGGGTTGAGGGTTTAGGGGTTTAGGGTTCTGGATTCATGACTATCCTCTTATACCTCTCATCATCATCATCATCATCCTCATCATCATCATCCTCATCATCATCATCATCATCATGATTGTCGTCATTATCACGTCGCCATCCACGAACTTACAATAATGAACACTACCATGATGCTGATCAGCAGCAGCAGCAGCAGCAGCAGCAGCAGCAGCAGCAGCAGCAGCAGCAGCAGCAGCAGCAGCGTAATCACCGCAACATACCACGAGCGTCATCAACAACCCCACCACCAGCGGCGTCACTAGTCAGGAAATGGACCGAGGGTGTCTCTCGACTCATTGCCACGGGTAAATGCAACCTTTCAGTACTTTGTCCTCCTGAACATTCCATGACCAGAACTTCAGGTTCGGCCGCAGCTTAACAATAAAATGGATTTCCATCATTAATTTGTAGGGGCCTTAATAATTAGAATTGGGTTTGGGGGTATATTACTTTATAACTGTATAAGAAGGAACCCGCCAAATTATTGAGGCCCCTACATCAGATCTGAACCCCAGACCCAAACCCCCCCTGCAAATCATAACCGCAACACGGAGTGTCTCACCGGCATTCTCCTGTCCTGATGTCCTTCGCGGCTTTCCTGCGACTTCACCGTGTCTTGAGGGTTTACGCAGGTTTAGGCTTCGGGTTTAGGTCTTGAATTGAGTCTGGGGTGTGCGATTGACATTCTGGTTGGCTTCCCAGCTTCTACGATGCTCCAGCCACAGCCCACGCCTCCGATTTCCGAAGGAGGAAACATGTGGCACGTCGCAGGATATAACTTCGGAGACCTACCTGGAGTAGACAGGTTTCCGACGAACACAACATATTTTCCAGACCCCTGAAACAGGGCGGAACATATCTGAAACTTCGGATTTGTAGAGCTCCATCTCAGACTGTGCACTCACAGGGCGCGGTCCTGAATTTGCAGCTGTGATCGGAAGACGCCTCGTCCACCTCCAGCTGCATCTCTGCCTGGCATTCGGTTTATGTCCGAAGCCCTACTGTAAGGGCCTTAATAATTAAAGGGGTTTTGGGGCCCATATATATATATATATGTATATATATATATATATATATGTAATAAGGAACCTCCAAAATAGTATAGGTCATTTATTTAGGCTCCTACATTACTTTAGCCCCACCCTGGGCGCCTCGTGCAATGGTTGTGGTGGTGTGGTGATGCCGATGAGGCAATGATGACAGTGATGGTGCCAAAATGTTGGTGATGATGAAGATGGAACATGACGTGGACATATAAATCAACACATAGATAAATAAATATAAGATAAATATAAATATACATAAATATATATATATATATATATATGTAGATGTGGATGTATGTGTATATATATATATGTAACTATATATAAGGCCTGCTGCAGCTGCTAGTAGCTGAGGACGGACATCGTGGCGACAGAACATTTTTGAACATCATTGCCTCGATAAGCCCTCCACCATCCGCAGCATCATGATCAGAAGGCACTCCCAACTTGGCTCACATCATGAAAGCAGCAGCAGCTTCTGCTGCTACTGTTCGTAGGAGCTGCTGGCGTGGTTGGCTCGGACGTTCTTCGACCTTACTGTTGATACTGATGATGGGTGTGCTGATGACGAAGAAACACGAGATTCGAATAATGATGTTGAGGATGGACAAAGTGAGGATGATGAGTTTGGTAACAATGATGTGACGATGGAGATGATGATCATGATGATGATAATGTTAATGAAGACGATCTTGTTGATAATGATGTTGACAATAATGATGATGACGATGACGATGACGATGATGATGATGATGATGGTGGTGATGCTGCTGATGATGATGCTGCTGCTGATGATGATGATTGCATTTTGTTTCCTTTATCACCGTGGCCTTACCAATGCTGCTGCCGCTGATGTTATCTGCTGCTGAGAGTTTATGTGCTGACGGTGGGGCTGTCTTTTTCCTTGATCACAATGCGATACCAAAATTACCTTGATGGACCTGCTGCTACTTCGTTGCGCGTGACCCCGGAGCCCCCTGAAGCCTGCACAACCCACACTGTTTCGGAATTTTGAGGTTTTCAAGGTGACAGCTTACCTAACCCAAATCTTCAAATTGCGTAATCTCACTCCCAAAGATTCCTCAACTCCTCAACCCTGAATCCTGACACCGACGTGTCATTCTGCCTGGAGCTTGGTTTGCCATCACTCAGCGGATTCACGCCGCCGGCTTAAGGGTACTAGGGCTGTCGTTCTTCAGGGTTCGTTAAACATGTTTAGGCAGCATGCGGCTTTTAGGGTTTAGAGGGTTATGGTAGAGGTCTGGGGTTGAGGGGTTGTTACGGAACTACTTCGACTTTTCTTGGACAGGTGCACTCTTCTTTGCATCAGAGGGGGGGGGGTCTTATTATCAGGCTTCTCCCCCATATCCTAAACCCGTCAAGGCCCTGGTTCCTCTGGAGCCTTATACTCGATATCCTGAGCCCGAAGCCTAGTTAGCCCTCCTGCGGCACCAAAACCCAGCAGTCAAGGATCTAGAGCGCACGGCGCTTCACCTCTCTTTTGGGGGTCTTCGAGCCAGTGCAGACCGCAACAGCGATTTTCGAAGAGCTCTATGGCCTGGGTCCAAGGCTTCTAAGACATGACCCGAGGTCTTGTAAACCTACAACCGCTGAACCCAAGACCCAGATGATATACCCTAAGGGTCCATGTACTCATATAGCATATACATGGGCCCTAAAGTACCTATATAGGGACTACATTAAGGCCAAGGTATATACTATATGAGCACATGGACCCAGATGATATACCCCGGAAGCCTAAAGCCTCACCCTACACCCTGAAGCCAAAACTCCCGAAGGCCCAAAGTGCTAAAGCAACGCATTATCAGCCCTTTCAAAACCCCAAGGGTCCCAAGGACCCAGTAATCAGGTACTTAGGTTTCGGATAGTAGTTACACAGGTTACTATTTGGGAGAGTATATGATGTTCAAGAACTTGGACCCTTAGGGAAACCTCAATGAAATATGCCCCGAAGCCTCTGAGAAGCCTAGAGAAACCAGTGGAAACCACGGAGCGCCCTAAAGCCACGGCAGACAAATCAAATGAGGGAGATCTGAGTCAGGTGTTAATGTAGCACCCGTTGCATTAATGTGTAGAGTGGGGCTTGTCAAAAGATCTGCCTAAGCCTGTCCCGCTTTTATCTTCGTTTTAGAGGTTGTAATGCATGAGAGCTGTACGGCTTAGGATGTATACGAGCCTCCCCAAGTATAGTAAACCTTAGAGAAGCAGTTAGCACCACTCAAACATCCTAAACAAAACTACGAAAACCCAATCATTCGGTATCAACCCTTAAAGTAGCCCCAAGGAACCAGCAACAAAGACCCGATGGACTCCCTAAACCCAAAACCCCAACCTGCAGCAGCCCTGAAAACCTCTTCCTGGTCGACGAAATCCTTGGCTCTTCCTGGTGCTCTGCAAGGGCTGCAGTTGGATCCCGTGAAAGGCTTCATGGGCTCATATAAGGGTACTATATGATTCTATAGCGGCTGCTGGAAGGGGATCCTTTACACTTTAAAGCATATTATAGGGTTCCATAAGGGTTCCTATAGGGGAACTGCAACATAAGTTAGTATGTGGTACCATAATAAATGCTCTAGAAGTGCGTGTGTCCTTGTGGGTTGCTTGGGGTTTAGGGCTTCGGGGGAGTACTCGGGTTGAACAATGGGTTGCCGTTGAAACCCTTCAGAGTAGGTATGAGATCTGCTTAAAAGGCCCAGTTTTCGCGGCTTACGTGTCATGCCTGCACTATCTCCCTATCACCAAAAGTGTATGCTTATCGGTTCTGCTTAAACGACACTCGCACCGGAGGTGCCGAGCACCTATAGGGAGCCGGAACCTCAAAGACTCTTGTTTAGGACACCGTAAACGGCATGCTATTACACTTATAAATAAATAAATAAATATATATATATATATATATGTATATGCACACACGTACGACCTTGATCCACTTTCGTGCCGTAGAAAAACGGCTTGGTTCCTAGTTCCTAGGTGTCGCTTCCAACGAGAACCACTTGCTGGCCGTGCCTGGGTTCGTCGTCATGCAGCATATGTGGCATGCCAAAAGTAGCGCGACCAAGGAGTTGTACCTCTTCCACGGAAGCTGGGAATACAATGATCTTGAGCTACCCAACAGTCTAAGTACCACTTAAGTATTTGGGGCCGAAAAGCCCGAGAGAACCCAATACCCCTCAATTAAGGAATATACCTTATAAACTATAGGGGCCTTAATATTAGGATTTAAGGTATATTGAGTGTTTCGGGGATGTAATTACCCACCCAAAGGCTCCAAGTACCTTTATAGTAGATACTTAGGCCTTAAGGGGGTCCCTATATAGGTACTTTATGGCCTAAGTACGTACTATATGGGTACATGGAGCCTTTGGGCCAGAGGCCCCATAGTAGTTCCTTTTTGGGATTGCCTTATAGGATTCTTTCTATGAGCCCCAAAAAGGAACTACTTTAGGGCCTATGGGTATTGCTCTACTCACCACGGGACAAACGGAATGACCTATCTCTTTGTTCGGCTTGTGGGCGTCAGTGTTGTTATAAGGACTACTTTCGAGGGTTACTATATGAGGATATATGAGGCTACGATACGCCGTCTGAGGTTAACTACTCGAAATATCTGCTATTCGGCGTCGAAGGCTGTGTGAGATTTCGGTTTCGGCCTTCCACAAGCCATGTTCCATCTGGCGGAGGTGTCTGAACCCGAACTGAGGGTTGCTTCTAGAGTTTACCCCAAGGGTCCAAAGGACCCAATAATCGGGTACTTAGGTTTCGGATAGTGGGAGAGTATATGATTATTAGGTACCTGGACCCTTGGGGTTAGGGTTTGAGGTTTAGGATTTCAGGTCGTAGCCTCTACACATTGGGGACCTCTTGCAAAAAGACACTTTTCGAAGTAATGCCGTGAAGTTCTGGAGGCGCCCTTTCGCACCCCACCAAAAGCCTAAAACATCATTTCTGAAGCCCTGCAGACCCAAGTCTCATGCAAGAAGGTAAATGGGGGTTTCCGAAAGCAGGGGACCCTAATATAAGACCCTAAATAGTAGGATCCTTATTGTCACCCCTATTTTCGGAAATTCCCCAATTACAAACAGCTTCAGAACCCCTAGGGCTCCGGTTCCGGGGCCTTGGGTCACGGGTTGAGGGGCTTGGGGCTTGGGGTTCGTGACCTACTACAGTATTTAGGTAACTGGAGCCCGAGCAGGCGGGAATGACGAGGCACAAGGCAATCTCGACGGACTCGAAAAGGCCCGCGGCAGGGAGAAGCGCGAAAAAGTTGACCTGAGACGCTTTGGGGTGCTGGCTTACGCTTTGCAGTAGGGTTGCTTGGAAACGTTAAACCCCCATAAACACTAAGTTTCGGGCTATAAGTAGGGTTAATTGGGGGTTTAGGGTTTAGAGTGGTTCGCATGTGCAGTACAGGGGTCCGGATTGTAGGGTGCAGGGTTCGGCGTTGTGGGGAAAAGCCTGACGTGTAGGCTGTTGATCAGTAGTGTCTTGGGGGTTTAGAGTTTAGGGTTTAGAGTTCAGGGTTTTGGGGGTTTAGGTTTAGAGTAATGTGGTGTTCAAGGAATGCTGCTCTGGGTGGGGTTGGGGGCATTCGGATTTGGAAACTTCACAGGTTGGGGTTCTGGCGGAGTGGCTCAAGGTTACATGGGGAACGGTGCCTTGCAGCACTGAGGTTTCGCGTGAGAATCATAAAATACAGAACCTCGGGAAGCCTTCTCTTGCTCCACCACATGTGCGGGTTTCGCGCTTGTTTATCTTGGTGTCATTCTTTCGTTCAGTCTTTGCGGCAGCGCAGTGCGTTCCGCGAAGCCCCGACAAAAGCAATCGACAACACATGCACGAACCAACAAACAAAGCCAACACAATTGGCCTCCCGGCCTCTCCCACACCACGGTCGTTCTTTTCGACATTCGATCAGCTGGAGCATCAGCAGTTCCCGTACATTTACTTCGGGACTGGCTGGTATTGCACTGCCCAAGCTGCAGCATTTGTGTGAGTGTGTGTCCTCTGGTAGACTTCTCTCAAGAGATGCAGCATACGGCGTCTCGACAGCACTTCGCATCCTGTTTGTAAAAACCCACGGACCTTGAACAAAAAACGCTACAAGGTCGACCTAAATCCTCTGGACCAGGATGGAAGACCACTAAACCTTGTCCAGAGTCTAGAAGCTGAAAAAGCCCAAATGCGAAGCCTAAACCCGAAGAGCCCTGAGCGCAGGATCACTGAGGCTCACGCCGCTCCGGCGATGATTGTCACAGCGCTGTACAGGACCAGGAGGCAAAGCATCCTAAGGGCGTAGGCAGCAGGCGGTAGGAGTGAAGACTGTAGGATCTCAGGGCTTCCCGTGTATCTACCGACAGCATACCATCGAAGCACAAATTCTATCAACCCAATAAACTCCTGAAACCCTAAACCCTAAACCCTAAACCCTAAACCCTAAACCCCTAAACTCCTGAACCCTAAAGTCTTGGAAACTTGGGAGCCGACTGCAGGGCTGAGCTCAGGGGTTTTGTGTTACCTCTTGGTTACCTCTTGGTCCGAAAAGTTGGTAGGGCATGCGGTCTTGGCCGTATGCAAGGTCGCCTGGCCCGCAAAGCAAGCGAAAGCTTGAAAGAAACTTCTTAGTGCGCAATCATGTAACCCTAAACCCTAAACCCTAAGCCCGACGGCAGGATATGTAGGGGCCCTAGCACTTAGACTAGGATCTTGATGGCATTCCACCATACAATCTAAGGGACCCCTGATGTAAAGAGTCCTAAAACCAATCATTCAGGCCCCTTTATTGCTTGCACGACTTGCATGTGCCAAGCAGCATGTGTCATTCTGACTAACAGAAAGCCCTGCAAGCAAGCATGTAACCAGTCCAGTTATTGGCACTTTTCTGCTGGGCGCGTCACAAAACCTGCAACTGGTGTGCCTAACCTTCGCGGTATCGCGAAGAGCATGTGAGCGCTTTGAAATTCGGCATTCGGCTGGGCAAGCCGTTTGTCGCGCATATCACGAACAAAAATGCAAAGCTGCAGGAAGTCTGCTTTAGCCTGACTGCCCACTTTGCCATGCCGGTGCACGTGATGGCTCAGCACGCACACCGAGAACTGGCCTTTACACTGATGAATTCGGATCTAGACACTCTCACAGTCGTATATGCGGTCCGGCAATTGCCCATTTGCTATACGGTTCACCACCTGACAGGGCGGTAATTAATGTAGGGGCCTAAACCTTTACCTATACCAATTTGGGGGTTCCTTATCATATTTATAGTATACTATACCCCCCAAAACCCGATTCTAATTATTAAGGCCCCTAAGATAGAACCCTATCATAGAACCCTATAAGGATCCCTTTAAAGGAACCCTCTTCTAATTATTAAGGCCCCTATAGTAGATTCGGGTCCCACGGGTTGGGTCAGGGATGTACGGCTGCTAGGTGCCTGTCCTCTTGAAAGGTATTTGGGTAGTTCTCTAAACTAGGGTCCCTTTTTAGGTCCCCAATATAGTACGGCACCCTTATAATAAGGACCCTAAAAGGGACCCTAATTTAGAGAACTACCCATTTGGGAACTCAGTGACTTGCAGTGAGTCAGATCAAAGAATTAGGGAAGAAATCCGAGAAGCTCATCTCAAAGATTCGGCGGCCTGCCATAACTACCTACAGTCTCCACTGTAGTTCACTTTCTCTGATGAAACCAACTTTGCAGTATGGGGGCCTAAATAATTACCAATACTATGTTGGGGGTTTCCTTGTTACAACTATAGTATAATATACCCCCAAGCCCTATTCTAATTATTAAGGCCCCTTTATGAGTTAGGATCCCATACGGTAGCCCAGAGAAAGAATTACAACGGAGACAGGTAAAACGAGGGTTTCACACAGACCTCAGATCCTCGAAGCCTCAAAACCAAAGCAACAGCGATCCCAGGGTTTAGGGTTTAGGAGTTTAGGAGTTTAGGGTTTAGGGTTTAGGGTTTAGGGTTTAGGGTTGAGGGGCAGGTGGCCTGATCCCGGAAGATGAGGCGGAGAAGACATGCTCAGTTGCAGCTGGCAGCAAGCTCTGGCACCTTTGGTGCAAGACAGCCGCAGCCGCAGCGGAGCAGCTTGACAAACAGGAGTTGCACTAAATGGTTCCATGGAGCTCAATGTCTGATCGGGCCGAAAGCCTTTAGGAGGGTTTAGGAGTTTAAGCTAGGAGCCTAAACAATTACCAATACTATTGTGGGGGTTCCTGATTACAAGTATAGTATAAAGAATGGGGCCCCAAAATCCTATTCTAATTATTAAGGCCCCTATATATAAGGCTTTAAGGCCCCTATATAGGCTTTAGAAGCTCGGGGCCTGCAATTTGGGTGCATTTGACATCTACTGTAATTTGAATGTATGCCTGGTCCCATCATGCCTATCAAGCTCCGTGTTTGCATCTGATGTAATACAGGGGCCTTAAGAAACAACATCATTCATACGGCAACACTATCTATAGTTGTCCAGACCCCTATAGTGGCTGGGCAGCAGCATTTCTCACGTCGCAGACTGCACCGCTAGCTGCGTGGAATCCAGCGACCTCCAGCTAGCCGTGCAACTACCGGTTTAATGCAGACTCCGGCATGCTTCAAGAAACTTGTGTGTTCTTCTTCCTAGATACATTGTGCCGTTGTGAGTCCTTCTTCCCCCCACTCGTGCAGCGACCGCAAGGGACAGGAGGGGGTTCAAGGTGTGCGCGCGATTCTAGAAAGCCCCGCACCTCAAACATGGGTGGAACAATCCTTCAAAGACAGCTAAGCAAACCTCCACCCCAAATTCCAAGAACTTAAAACCAAAAACATGTCCTTGTGCCGGGCCCCTTACCGGTCCAATCTGTGAAGTCTCTTGTCTAATTCAGTCCACTACTTCTTAACCTCTAAAGCCGTGCACCTCGTCAAACGCCGGAGCAAGCAGAGCCGCTGTTCTTGCTGATCTTGCTAGCCTCTCGGGGGTTATTTTGGAGAGCTGTGGTCACGACTCATGCCCTTTCAAGGGTGAAGGGGCAGTTGCCCAAAACCTCAAGCAGAACACTCACTTCTGGTATCATAAAACTGATTCAGCCAGCATGCCGAAAGATATCTCATCGGCAGGGATTTCGCTATTGGTATAACTACTGTTGCTACCCTTAAAAATACCACTGCTGCTGCGTTGTTGCTGCTATTGTTGTTACTGTTGTTATTGTGTTATATCCCTAAACCCTAAACCCCCTAAACCCCCTAAGCCCTAAACCCATGAGATATGACGACGAATGCTGATATCCCCAAGCACCTGGCGATCCAACCTGCGGCCCTCCTGCTGGTAGCAGACATTCTCGAAGTCTGCCTCGCAGGCGCTTCCTAGTTTAGGTTTAGGGCCTAGGGTTTAATACTGTATATCTTGGCTCCCTGCTGAGTTTAAGCACCCTGAAAAGTTGCAAAATGTTACCCCAACGATGATAAAGCTTCAGTGCTGACCGAGTAAGCTCAGGTTCAGAGGGCTTAGGGCGGCTTCCGGCTCGGAGCTTATATGACTTACATAGGCTCGCGCTTTGGGGGTTCGGGTCTGCGGGCTTAAAATAAGGGCCTAAATAATTACAAAATGCTATTTTGGGGGCTCCTCTTTCGAATTATACTGTCATACACCTCAAAATCCTATTCTCGTTATTGAGGCTCCTGTATGATTGAAGTGCAAGGCTTCTGGCAATTGGCCACCGGCTTCTGAATGCCAAGGTTTACGGATGCTGACGGGTTTAGGGCTTACGGGTCCTGACTGCCATACTTATGTTTATTTAACCGATGTAGATGACGTAGATGAGAATTTAGGATTGGGGACAGAGGAGAAGAACAACCAGGGAGAAGCAGAGGATGGCCTTAGCGATGGAGAGGATGTTGATGATGGAAGACGCCATTCAGCACGACACAGCAGGGCAGTTTAGGTTTAGGGCTCATCGGCTCGTCCATCCCGAATCTCGAAGCAAGGGCAGCTGCTTCTGAGCCTCCACTTCATGGAGGGCCTCTATCATGTGACCCATCTCCTTGTCCAGCTCAACCTTGTTGGAGCAGTGAGGGCCATTGGGCTAGTTCTTACCAGCCAAGGCTCGAACATGGGATCATTAGAGCTGGTTATCTCTGGCACAGCTTGGGATACATGCGTATCAATGTTCTAAACATATTATACATACGCACACATACACATGTATGAGACATCCCTGCATACATAAATCAATGCATGCATAGATACAGTAGTTCGTCCGTCATCCACACAAACAATATATACATAACACTGTATGCGTGTCTGTGTATGCTTAATTGTATATGTGTATACGTATACAGATGCAATGATGTACATAAGTTTATATGCATGATATATATATATATATAAGAGTATGGGTGTACACATGTATAAGTCCGCTGAAGAGTTAAAGCTAGGTTCAAGGTTGGAGAGGTTTTCCAGCAGAACCAGGCCAAGCCCAGCCGCTTTGCAACGAGGACTCTTAATACCTTTGTCTGACAGAAAGAAAGCCCTTCCTCCGAGAAATTCCTGTGGGTCCACAAAAACCAAGACCCAAAGCTCCACAACCCCAAAGCCGTTGCAACCGATTTCAGCCCGACCCTAAAGCCGCAAACCCGAACTCTACAAGCCCCAAACCCGAACCCAAGCACAATTTGTTTAGTGACCTCTTGGGTTTCTACTTTATAGGAACAGATGAGTCCTAACAAACATCCAGGACTAGAGACCGCTGTATCCCTAATAAAGCCTTCCTAAACCCCAAACCCTCCTAAACCCAACACCCTCCGAAACCAGAAACCCTCCTAAACCCTAAACCATACTGAAGCCCTACACCCTAAACCATGCCAAACCCTAAACCCTGCTACGTACACCCTAACTCCCAAACCATGCCAAACCTTACCCTAACCTGCCAGGTACCTACTATATAGGGTACTAGAGCCCCTAAGGCCCTATATAGTAGGTACCTGGGGGGTTAGGGTTAGACCCTGCCAAACCCGGGCTCGAGGCCAGTGTGTCTGGCGTGTCCCTGCCAGATTCCAGGTCATGGAGTCGGGTGCCCATGTGGCTCAGAGCCTCCTGTGCCTGTCGGTGCAGTTGAAGCTTAGTTTTTTTTACGCACCTTTTGAAGTTTAGGGTTTAGGGTTTAGGGATTAGGGTTTAGTGTTATGTAGGGTTTAGGGATTGGGGTTCAAGGTTCACGGACCTGTTTCCATCAGACGTTGAAGTTTAAGGCTTCTAGGGCTTGAGAGCTTAGTGCTTCAAGTCAAGGGTTTTGTAGATTCTGGCTTCAGGGTTTGACGGTCTCTGAGACATTTTCAATTTCAGCGCCTGAGGCTTTGGAACGTAGGGGTTTCAGTTCAAGGCTTTGGCTCCCAGAGCTTACTGATGACCATAAGGTTCGGAAATATGCCACAAAAGATGTGTTGACTTGCGAAGTCGGCATAGGGATGCAAGGCCCGGGTAGCGCATGCTGCGCGCTTCGGGCCCTAGCAAAATGGTCTAGTCAATGTGGGCAGCATCGCGCGGCTGCCACGGTGCCCAAACCCTCAACCCCAACAGGGGAAGCACAAAGTTCTTGGATTTTTGCAAACGAAACATACCTCAAAAACAAAACATGAGGCTAGCCGAACCCCAGCTTCATGCCTTGAGCTGTTCTGCATGTCCCTTGTTATTATAGTGTTGCTGTGGTGAGGGCCTTTGCAAGACTGAAGTCCTGTGACAGGGGGGTGCCCCAAAGATTGAGCCTGATTTCCCGTCAAGGAGCCTCGGACTATCTGTCAGCGACTTCCAGCCAACAGGTTTTCATGCTCTGGATGCCCATGTTTCAACGGCACTTCTGCGGTCACCGCACTGAATCACTACTGTATCGATTAGGGGTTGAAGACCATGTCGCAGGGCTATGCAGGCGTCTTGGTGGCACGGACGTTGCGCTGAGCAGGCCTTCTTCAAGTCTGCGGAGAAGCGCTCCTCCTCCAGCTTCTTGATGTAGTCCTGTATGGCTCGACCCTAATAACAGTATAAACCACCAAAGTGTCTCGCTCGTCGTCGACAGGCTTTCGCCCGTATCACCCGAAACCCCAGTTCTAACTGTTAAGGCCCCTATATTAGCGCCTCCGCGGCAAAAGCTTCCGCGCAGGCATGGCCGTAGCTGAGCACTGTAAATTCCGTAAGCAATTTAAGACCCATCAGCCCCAAAACCCTTGATTGACGGCGCCCACTCCTGATTTAGGATGCTTTTTATCAATTTACACACCGGGCTTATGCTAGTGGGCAAAGTGAGCACTTCTTCCTCATCTGAAACCCCCAACACCAGAACCCTAAAATAACCTATGTTCCTTATTCCTTTTTGGGGATACCTTATAAAACCCTATATATACCTTGTTAAACCAAAAAAAGGAACTCCAATGGAGACTACAGATAAGACCCTGCCAAAGACCTCAACTCCCGTGGAGACCCGCAATGCGCAGTAAGAGCCTGAAGCATGCTATACACCCGAAAGGGACTGCCCAAGCCTGACACTGACTCCAAGACCTTAACCGACCGATACGTTCGTCTTGTAGGAACCCATACAAGACATTTGTGAGGTTCTTTCATATAAGACCATACTAAGAAATAGGTGAGAGGGAGCTCCTTGAGGAGCTGGCGGCAAGCCATGTAGAAAAGTCCGATTGACCCAGTTACCGAAGCCGGCACAAGAAGGGCCTCGTGCTGAAGGCATAGAAGGCTTTGGCTTTTTCGGCGGGGAGGGGGGCTGTAAGCTTTGAGGGTTTAGCGTTTTGGGCTCTATAGGGGTTCGGGGGAGTAATAGGGGTGTTGGGCTTTGGAGCTTCGGGGTTTAGGGTGCTGGGCTATCGAACCCAATTACCCTAAACCCTGAAACCCGAAACCCTGAAACCCCCGAGGCCCTGAAGGGCTTAATCGGCTTAGGGCCTAGGGCAAATCTCGCACACCCCAAACGATCATAGCTTGGCGCTGGTCTCCACTGAGGATTGCTGGAACTGCGGGATCCTATGCCAACAGCAACGGCATCAGGTTTGGGATCCCCGAATAGGGTTTTGGGGGTATACGATACTCTGATTTTAATAAGGAACACCCCAAAATAGTATAGGTAATTCGCGCAGGCCCCTATAAATCCCTCCCAAAAATATATAGGTAATTCTTAAAGGCCCCTGCAACCTTCCCAAAATAATACAGGTAGCTCTTAATTCCTAAAGGCCCCTATAAAACCCCCAAAATAGTATAGGCAATTCTTACAGCCCCCTACAAGCCCCCCCAAACAAAAAATAACATAGGTAGTTCTTAAAGGCCCCTATAGTTGAAATTACAGCTTGGAGTTCAGGCTTCTCGAGGATTTAGTGGGACTCGGAGGCTTTGCGTCTCGGAATTTCCGGAATCAACATGTAGTGTCTGGTCGTTTGACTACGGTTTAGGCGGATGGGGGTTTAGGGTTTAGAGTTTAGGGTTTATTGTTTAGGGTTAGGGTTAAGGGTCGAAAGGGTCTAGAGTTAGGCTTTAGGGTTTCTGCGCGTGTTCTCTGCTCGTTAGCGCGCTTGCTGTCCTTTTGCTTGGTTGTGATCGAGCTTTTCTGCCTATGGCTACCAGTACTGGCAGCCTGTATTCGTGACAACCATGATCGTCCAAGTTAACTTTCTTGCTTCAAGCTGTCGGCATCCTCGCTGTCAGTGCGAACCTATATATACCCTAAATCTCTCAACCAGCCCCTCCGGCACGCAAGCCCCAAGCACGAACCCCATCGCGCCAGAACCCAGATCCCTCGTGCACCTTGGGGCCCGGAATGACGTTCTCCATGTAAATTCCTGGGCTCTGGTTGAGATACTAGAATAGTAACACAATTTCTTGAACAGCTTATATATATATATATACACATACACATACATATATGTCTTGACTTCTATATACTTGTGCAAGTATGCACATACTATACTTGTATAGTCTGAACATATCTAAACCCTATCGAAGCGCTACGGGGATCCTCATGTTGCAGCAGAAACCAAAACTGACTTCTTCAACAATGCCCAGTCTCCAATGAGACCTCCGGAGAGGTAGAACACCCAGAGTCCGGCGAGGACAGTGAGCTTCCTGGATTCAGGGTTTGGGGCTTTAGGGCTTTGGGGTTTAAGGTTTAGGGTTCAGGGCGTTGGGGTTTAAGGTTTAGGGTTTCGGGTGGTGAGGGAGGGCTTCAGGGGTTTGAGGCCTGGGTGGGCTGGGTTTTGGGTGTGGGTTCGGGTGTGGGGTTTAGAGCCTGCTGTTGGGTCTACAACAGGTTTCGAGAGGGTAGGGAGAGACACAGTTTAGGGTTCAGGGTTTAGTCTGCAGTTGTCCAATGAGTCCAATGGGCAGTGGCAGATGAATTCAAGAGATTGTCGGCGTTCATGAGCGCAGGGCTTCTGAGCATACTCGGCAAACCAGAACGCCTTGATTCTGTCCGTCGGAGTGTCGCTACTGCCCAGCCAAAACCCAGAAACCTTGACCCTACAAAGCCGTGGAAACTGCACCGCCCAAGGCCCTAAACCGTAAAGTCTGAGATTGATCGCCCAACTGGCGATACACCCTTATCCGAAAACCGTGAAGACCTCGCTCCCTGAACCCCTATTCCCCGAAAACCGGAATGTAGCACAGTTGAGGCTTCATCGTCGAGGCCGAGCTTCTGAGTATCCACCGCAATCTCCGCACGATCGATATCGTTGAGCGCAGTTCGGTTGATTGCCCTGGGTGTAGTGGCGGGGATGGAAGACATGCATGTTGCCTTGAAGCCTTGTGAGAGGCTGCTGGACGACGAATGGCCTGAACCACTAGTAAGAAGTGCTCTGAGTTTGTAGGTGAGCCCGAAACCCGTCGTAAGCCCAGAAGTGGACCCTTGGCTGATAGACCTTAACCACAACTATGCCCCTGCTCGTCACAAGCTCTGTGTAGATGTGACTTAGCTTGCTCAATTGCCCCCAAAACTGAATTCTGCGTCCTCAACGGTCCTGAGCCCGTACCCAGACAGCCCACTACCCCGTTATTCAGGAATATACCTTAACTCATAACAGTAAGGTCTCTGTAAATTAAGGTATATTCCATAATTAAGGGGTATCGGGTTCTCTGGGTGACACTCAACTGCCGAAAAAACCCTGTACTCGCGAATTAAATTCATTAGGCGGCCGAACCTTCGTAGCCAGATCATGCTGATGCGGCCCATGGTAGATCCGATGTCTGTCACCGTCCCTGCTCCGGGGTTGTCTCTGGGGCATCAAGGGCTTCGAAAGGGCTCAGGGCTTGAGGGCTTAGGGTTTAAGGTTTGGGGTTTGGGATTTGGGGTGTGGGGTTGAGGGTTTCGGGTTTAAGGTTTCTAGATTGTAGGAATCAAGCTCGGGCCGAGAATTTGGGACGGGGAGCACTCTTTGAACCGCAGCACGAAACAAGAAAGGCTGAGGATTCAGGGTTTATCCCACATTTGCACCGTGCCTGTCACGTGAGTGGTGCGGATGATGGCGCCGAAGTGAGATGTGCACATTGCATTTTGTAAGCCGCAAGCAGCAGCAACGAAGCAGGTTGGCACCAGTCGGCCAGGGACAAAAGCGGCCAAAACCAGCAAAGCAGAATTCAGCACCAGAGCCATCCCATAGAAAGCCTTCCCAAGGAAGTGCACCTGGTTCTTGTCAATCAAGATTCCACAGGTATATGCACCCGCCAGGAAGCACAAGACCAGTGAGCACGCCTCTTTCAAGGACTCGGAGCCATACTCGCCTTGATGATAGCCTTCAGGGGCTTTGGTTTAGGGTTAATGCATATGCCCGCAAAAGTCTAAACTTTCAGTTTTCTAGAGGATATTATTAACCGGAAAAGTGTAGAGTGTACAAATTCAGCTACCAAGGCCTTCCAGGCGAAAGGCCATGGCGGATGTGCTGCCAGTCACATGAGAGGCATAGTGGCCAAAGCACTTGAAGGCAATGATGTTGGCAGCTCCCGCACAGGATGCCAGGCACCAGCCAAAGCCTCTGGCAGAAATGCGGAAGCCTAGTGAACAGGGTCTTGGGTTTATCTCATACTCGAACTGTCATCAGCAGCCCTGACAAGTATGTGGTGTTTTCTTTATCATTCAAGCTCCCATGTTGGGAGATGCCAGATGCCGCTACTTAGCTTCGCGGCTTAGCATGCAAGGGATCCGGAATCTAAGGTTTGAGGATCCTGAAACTCTTAAACTGTAAACCCAAGTCCGCATGCGAAACCCTTCACAGACAAGCCCTGACAGCACCACACATTGCAAACCCTACTACACTGAGATTCGCTTTAGGGCCCTGAGCCCTGAACATCTAAACCCGGACCTGTGACCCACAGCTTCGGCCGTTGGAAACTTTTGCGGATGGCCGCGGCTTTCCTTGATGCAAGACTCGTGGCTTCAGCGTTGCTTCGTAAGCTCATGCTTACGCCCGTCGGGTGCATAGCATACGAGGTCATAGCGTCTTGTATCATGCAACATATGGAGTCATGGGGGGGTGGGGCACCCAAGCCCCAAAATCGCAAAGAAGCTGTGGGCCTTGTAAAGCATGAGACTTGCATGGGGTGTTGAGGGTTGGCTCAGAAGATCGGGTCAGCACAGCGCTGAGGTAATCGGGAATCGCAGATAGAGTCAGGCATCCGGGTATATTATGGCATATCGTGCTGGGTATAGTATAGCATATCGTGCTGTAGTGAAGATATGTCATAGTCGGAGGCACATTGTCCACGGGCCTTCACGCCCGATGCTCGAACCACGAGCGCACCCCCAACTCTGAAAGCGTGTTTCGGCTGATTCAGCTGCTGTTGCCTGTATCAAGACACCTAGATCACAGTAACCCGATGCTTCCAAGGACCTTATATATTGTAAGGGCCCTAGACCCCTTAACTTAAGGGCCCAATACGAAGTAACGAAAAACAAGTCTTTCTACACCCCCCAAAACCCATTATTCCCATTATTGAGGCAACCGGAAACCTAGGGTTACACATTGCAGCCCACCAGAATTTGCGGGCCTTACTAATTAGAATAGGGTTTGGGGTCTATTATGCTATAAATATAATAAGGACCCNNACCCTATTCAATTATTAAGGCCCCTAAACCCTAAACCCTTCTAGTAGCCATTATAGAACCCTTTAAGGAGCCCTTTCTATTAGGAAGGGCTCTATCAAAACTATGAAGGCCCCTGCCATATTATGGCCATGGCTCTCTTTGACTCGCCTTGTCGAGGTTGACTGCCTCCGCCCAGAAGTTCGCAGAGAACCCAATACCCCTAAATCAAGGAATATACCGTAAAAGGGCTCCTTCAAGGGATCTATAAGGGCTTAAGGCTTAGGGTTTAGGGGAATTAGGGAATTTACCGTGACTTATGGCAGTAAGACCCCTATAATTTACGGTGGATTCCTTACTTAAGGGGTATTGGGTTCTCTGGGTTTGGGATCTGTGACTTTGGACGCTAGAGTAATACAGGGGCCTTGATAATTAAAAGAATAAGGTTTAGGGTATATGGGCTCCCAAAACAGTATAGGTAATTATTCAGGCCCCTATATGCAAGAGACGCCGAAACAGGATCTGAACGCGCAAAAAGGAGCGTCCCCGTCATCTCCCCTGCAACCTTCAGGATTTAGCTGGGTTGGCCTTTAAACCCTCTGAAAAATATTTACATAAAGCGTCCCTTATAAGCCCCAACAAGGAAAACAAAAAGCCTCCCAAAAACCCAACCTACTTAGAGGATGTTGGGGTTGCGCCCTGCTGCAGACCGTACCTCGAGAGTCGCGAGGGAGACAGCGGCGCCTTGTCCGTTACGTGCCCTTGCGTCATGGGAGCTACCACCATAGTAGGGGTCGCAGCTGCAGTCTGTCAAAATGGCTGCAAGGCGGGATCCCCAAAGCCTCCGGAACATGAGATCATGTTAGGGTGTAGGGTTTAGGGTTTAGGGTTTAGGGTCTATAGGGTTTAGGGTTTAGGGTTTAGGGTTTAGGAGATTGAGACTCAGTGGGCTTCAATGCTTCGGCGGGCCCTGGACGGACGTTTCTCCTTGCCGTGTGAGTGGGGAGGGGAGAAAGAAATCTCTCGCAGGAGGCTATTGCTGCCTGGACGGGTCAGAGTTTGCAAACTAAACCCTACAACCCGACACGAGCTCTATAATTCCAAACCCGGACGGCGAGCCCACATAGGCCTAGACCGTGACCTAAAACTTTTGCTCATTATGGACAAACTTCGGGCGCAAGGCTGGTACAGGTACACTCTCTTGCCGCAAAGGGTTCAGGTTTCCTTCCCTAATCTAAGGGCTTTAGGCGGGACCCTTAATAGGGACCCTTGTAGGTCATTGGGGCTAGTATGGAGACTACCTGGCTATATAAGGGGTTTATAAGCTTTAAGGTAGTGGGATTAAGGGTCCCTGTTAGGGGTCCCTCCTAAAGTCCTTAGACCTACGCCCTGCTTCATACCCATGCCCCTAAGGGTCCATGTACTCAATATAGTATGTACAGTGGCTTTAACGTAGTCCCCAGATAGGTACTGTGGGGTACATGGACCCTAAACCTTAAACCCTAAACCCTATGAACCCCAAACCCTAAGAAACCCTTAACCCTGAGCCTTAAAGCCTAAACCCTAAACCCTGAGCCTGAAACCCTTAACCCTAACCCCTAAACCCTAAACCCTAAGCCTTAAACCCTTAACCCGAAACCCTCAACCCTAAACCTTAAACCCTAAACCCTAAACCCTATTTAGGTAGACCCCTTTTTGGATGGTGCCCTGAGGCTGCAGCCCAGTGGGATCCCAAAGCCTCCAGGCGACTCGCGTGGAATCATCTCGCGACTTCGTGGACCTCTGATCGGAGGGTTTAGGGTTTAGGGTTTTAGGGTTTAGGGTTTAGGGTGTAGGGTGTAGGGTTTAGGGTTTAGGGTTTAGAGTTCGTGGAGCTCTGCTCTGAGGGCTTTGGGGTTTGAAAACGTAGGGTTGGAGGCTTAGGGCGCAGAGGATTCTGGGTTTCGGGGTTCATTGGTGTTTATAGGTTGCCTTATAAACCCCAAAAATAAATTAAGATAAGGGTCCAAAACGTCTCAAAGCCGATGAGTCTACATCCTTTGAGGGTTCAGGTTCAGGTTTCGGGATAAGGGTTCCAGGCACGAGGGTTGGGGGCGCAAGGGCTTTGATCGGTTTAGGTCTTGGGGTTTGCAGGCTTCAGGAGTGGGAGTATGAGTTTGAGGTTTGCTTGAGAGAGGCCCTTTGATGGGGATAGTGTTCAAGTGTTTAGGGGTGTGGGCTGTAACTGTAGTAAACCCAAAACCTACAGTCAGGTTTTCAGAGGAGTCAGATTCAGACATGCAGGGGTTTGCAGAGGGCAGGGGCACAGGAATCCAGCGCGAAGATCAGTCATGTGACCTTCCCACAGGTCGATCGCCCATGTGACCGGAAAGCGGCTGTTGCAGGGAGGATGTTCAGCTGCTGCACTCACGTCAGTTACTGTCGTGGTCCAGCTCGTGGGTTTACGGCTTGATATTCCTGATCACCGGTTTCTACCATTGAAGAAGCACGGTCAGACATCTGTAGACTGCGTTGCGGGCGCAAATCGCCACAGCTGGTGGGTCTGCGGGGTGAGTAGTGAACGGTAGTTGGATTGGCTGGGATGCGGTAGCCAGGTGCTTGGGATGATTGCTGTTGGTAGGGAGAAGCTTTCCCCCTTTGGGCTGGCGAGCGGCAGCAGGAGCGTCCAACATGCTTTCACATCTTCCCAGTTCCCGAACCTCTTGGGCCCTAAACATGCCTAAACCCAAAGTCTCTAAACTCTAAGTACTGAGCCCTCGACACCAAGCCCCGGATCTAAAATCACACTTTGCCCCTAAGCTTTCAACGCCGACACTCAGGCTCCTGTCAAAAGGTATCGGGCTCAGGCGCTTGGTGGTTAGGACGGGTTTAGGGTTTATGGAGCTCTGCTAAGGGTTTGCCGAAGGCTGTTGGAGGCTTGGAGGTTGAGTAAACCCTGAATACTGCGGGATCTTTTGAGGGAGAACATATATAGGATCCTTAGTTTCAATTAGAACAAGGTTTTGGGGGTGCCTATGCCACACTTATAATTAATTATAATAGGAAGCCCAAGAAATAATGCCAAGTTATCAGGCCATACGGGGCTAGACTCACACAAAGGCTCTATGCAATCCGGCGTCCAGGCCAGAAAACGGTGGGCACATGGTACATTCCACAAGCTTGAAACGCGAAGCCTTTGCCCCCAGGTGGCCACGGGACATGAGAGGCTCCAAGGTGAATGGTTTAGGGTTTAGGGTTTAGGGTTTAAGGTTTAGGGTTTAGAGTCAGAGGTTTAGAGTCTTTGAGTTTAGGCCGAGGCCCTGGGGTGCAGGTTTAGGTGCGCCTTTTTTTGTCGAAAAAAGTTGGCATGCCTCGCTGGGAACTGGAGCAGCATGAACCTGCCGAAGGTGCTTTCGTCGAGGGCCCAAATACTGCCGATCCAGGAAATGAACAGGAAACGCTAAACTCCCAATCCTAATGCTCCATTCAAACGATTGGGAAGCCGAGCCTGAAACTAATAACTATTATTAATGGTTAGAAGAGGGGTTTGGGGGCCCAATATACCATACTTATAATAAGGAACCCCCAAAATAGTATTGGTAGTTGTTTAGGCTGCCACAGTACAACACCACATGTTTCTATCTCAGACTTTGTGTCCTAAGCCCAACCTACTGCCCTGAGCAGTCCCTAAACCCTGAACCCTAAACCCTAAACTAAACCCTAAACCCTAAACCCTAAACCCTAAACCCTAAACTACTACATCGGCAGTTTAAGGGCACACAGGGAAAACGACGATCGACACCCCCTCGTCCCCAGAGGCTCCGCTGCATCTTCAATGGGTCCGCTATATGAGTCCTAGAACGAAGGGTGATGAGGAAGGAAAGTGAGTCGGGTTTAGGAGCCGTTTTAGGGTTTCGGGATTAGGGTTTGAGGCAACAGCATTGGAATTACGCTAGGTGGGTGCCTGCGACATACATACAGACCGGTCCAATGATTTCGGGGGTAGATTTTGGTATACACGTGCGGGGGCTACGTACAGGGGTACCAAAATCTATGATGCGTTCTGAAGCTACAAATCAGAAATCCATATGGGGAAAGGATATACCCTAAACCCTGATTGCTATAGGTAATAAGCCCTATCGGAGTCTCTGGGAAGATCTTTATCAACACAGTCACAGCTGATGCCGACACGACGAAGGGTCCCGACTTAAGGCTAGCCGAACAGCCGTACCCTGCAATTGTGGTCAAAGTCGAGGCTTTTGCGTTTTCGGATCTAAAGCGTGTTGCTTCGGGTCGAGGCGACTGTGCTTTTGACATTGTATGATCTAGCTAGTCTACTTTCAGGTATCATAGGATCTTGCAATTAACTGCTGCATCCCACGTGTCGCCAGCGCACTCTCACACAATAGGTTCATGGTCCTGCAGTGCGACATGCACCTTATGATGATCTTCGCAGCACGCACCTGCTTGTACCGCTGCTCACCAGGAAATACTGACATGTGGTTAGGGTTGAATTTGTAGGGTGTCTGCTTCGGAATACTTTGCGCTATCGTTAAACTAGCGACTCAGTGCAGCCATCTCGGATTGATCAATCTAGGAGGAAAGCTATGATTCCCAACACAATCTCGACAAGCCGGGACGTCAAAACACCCTGCCGTCGCATCTGGAAAACAGGAACTGATCGCAATGGGATGCTTTGCCACCCCTTGGAGCAAGCCCGCTCGTGCGCACAAGCAAAGGCTGACTTAACCTCTCCAACTTGAAATGTCAAGATTTTTGGAAACGAGCCGGCGGGGCTGTGCACATTTCTTGCAAGCTGAGGACACTCACAACCAACGCTTGAAGGAGCCTACTCCCCAAAAGTCATGAGGCCCGACTGACCCCGAAGCCGAACCCCCCACACCAGGAAGGTGCTGACAACAGACCTGAAAAATGCGACACCCCAGACACCAAAGATGCGTGACTCCCAGCTACCCTATACCCCCGAACGGGGAACAGGGATGTTTAAAAAAAGCGGAAGGAAAACTTCACCCTGCCTTTACAATCCGGACACTTGCGGTCCAGCACTCGGGGAACGGTCCAGATTGGGTAGCTTGAAAGACATTGTGGAATAACCACCCCTAAACCCTCCGGAAGCGTCCTGCTGTATGGTGCAGAGCATGCTACAGTATACTATACTAAGCTGTGCGTTATTTCACAAAGTACTAGATATCACACACTGCAGTATACTATTAACCATGACGTACCCAGTATTGCTCCCGCTGTGCTTGCGATGCCAACAAGCGCCAGCACCCGACCTTTCCCTACCTACGTGTTAAACGAGTCTGAGATTCAAGCAGTCCCCCAAATGCCTGCACTCCGAACTTCATAACATCCAGGTGATCTGACATCAATTTGAAGACTTTCCTCTAGCGACAAAAAGGAAAACGCACGTTTGAAGCAGGAGTGGCAGGCATGTCAGCCTGGGGAAGCCAGCTCTGAAGCACCTTTCTTGAGACACCGCTCCGCTGCCAAGCAGTTAGATAATTTCCGCCGGGTCTTTCAGGGCTTCTATGATGGTTAGTATCATGGTCATCATAGCTATAGTGGTTACCAGAACGGTTACTATGAGGCTGTAAGGGCTACGACAAGGGTCACTACAGGGGTTATTTCACGGCTGTAAAGGTACGGCTGACGAGTCCAAGACCTCATAAAGCCCGAGCGGATCCGAACGTCTCCCTGGAGCTTTGCCGGAAGCCTTTTATACCCGTTTCTGCGACCCAGAAATCACTCCCTCGTGGCACTGTGGGAGTCTGGGGTACATCTCAGAACTTGCCGGCCACTTTCGCGAAGAAAGTCATGGTCATGGAAGTTAGTATGACTGGGCCGCAACCTTAACCCTTCGGTCCAAACCCTGCATCCTGGCCGTCCAAGTTGAATGTAGGGGCCTTAATAATTAGAATATATATATATATATATATTATATTTTTTTTTTTTTGGGGGGGGCGGTCCCTATTACAATTATAGTATAATGTACCCCCCCCAAACCCTATTCTAATCATTAAGGCGCTTATATTAAACCCACACCCGCAGCCCTGCTGCCCAGTAGAGCTGCTAGACTCGTACTGTTGTTGTTTGTGCGGTATACGCGCATCGCATAAAGTAAAGTCTAGAGTCTAGAAGTACTTGAACAGCAGTAGCAGCCGGTAGCAACAGCACCGTGCTGACACTGAGCTGCTCAATGTTTTGATCACGGGTAGTACGAAGAGCTTGCGGGGGAACAAAGGGAAAACAAAATCAGTCTGATAATATGACAAGTCGATGGGCAACGCGTGCGGGCAAAGCCTCAACTCGCGACTAGCGAAGCGCTTGAATTACTTGCCATTCCTGACTGCGCCGCCCCACTCTCACTGTCATAAGGCGACACCGCATCCGTAATGTCGGTACCTGGGCAGTTCGACATCGGAGTCTCTTGAATTGAAGAGACGCACCACCTGCACTTAGCTGCGCGAGACTGAAACTCCCTCGCAAAGGCAGTTCGGACAGAAAGCCCATCAACCCAACTGAGAGAATCCCAAAGACCGAAATCGCCAAACACGACTGCAACGACCGGCTGCAGCCACTTCGGGGTCGGATGCTCGCCCATAGTGCCGATCCGCCACGAGATCGATTAGACAGTAGCCACAACTGCTACGACAGAACGAACAGGTTTAGAAGATGAATGGGGTCTGAGACCTTGCAAGACAGCGGAGCCTACATATATTCATCCCTGACATTCTCGGCTGCTACAGCTCTGCACACCCACACCACATCATCTGCCTCCCCCTAGTATAGAACAATAAATACTAATTAGACTATACCATCCTTTACTGGACTCCTATACTATATATACTATGGTCTGCAGGGTAGCCGGATCCAGGGTTCGAGCTCTCCGGCGTGATCTGCGGCGTCAGGAGGTGTCCGTACCTGGCTTTAGTTAGGACATGTACGAAACAAAACATATGATGTTGAACTGCTGGAGTTCTACCCAGTCAGCTTAGAAGGCATGTAACATTTTGGCAGATCCCTATGAAAGAAACCATGAACCGAAAACACAAATAGTCCAAAATCGCCACCAAAAGCCGAGTGCCTTCTAATAACATGTACAAGCATACGGCTCATCTGCAAGCAAAACATGTAATCCATTCATAAAAATGCAAGACTTCCCCTTCACACCACCCTGCTGCTCCCACAGCTGATGCAATTAGGATGCTCAGGATGGGCGTTTAGAGCTTAGCGTTGGACTTTGGACGGGAGTGAGGGTTTAGGGCATTGACTTTCCAGCAGAACCGAACATCGCGTTCGTTCCTCACTTGAGGTGAGGCTGCCGCTGCAATGGATTCCACTCTTGCGAAAACATCTACCGAGGAAGCAGGCAGGAGGCTACTGAACACCAACAGCTTACAGCAACAATGCTATCTGCAAAACTCAAAAGCAACGAAGCTAAGCAGTACCTGCAAGATGTCACAAGTGCAAAGCACGCCCACAACTCACTGAAGCCTGGAACAACAATGCCTCGGCCTGTTCCGCAACCCTAAACCTTAAAACCACAACATCGCATTCGAGCTTGTTGTCTGCATGCATTCGTGTTGGCGCAGCAAACCCAAAAGCTTCAACCTCTCCAAGTACTGCGGCTGAATTCTTAGCTCACAAACCCTGGTTATAGCAAAGACTAAACTTTGAGTTGAATCTACGCTTCAACATTTATCAACCTTGAACCCAATATCCAGGCTCCGCATCCTAAGCCAAGGGGCTGCGATTCACTCACCACCGCCTGCGCAAAGCAAGGGGGGCGACCCAGGATTCGAAGATAGGGAGCCGTGAAATTCTTACTTCGTATGCAGCGAAACAGCCGTTATTGTTCTTGTTGTTGCTAAACTATGCGATACTTCGGGCATGTACGATCATTATGACGAAGCGTTGTACCAAGGATGGCTTGTGTCTGCGGCTTCGGGTTTTCAGATGAGGGTCAAAGGCATCGTGTTTAAGGTTTGGTATTTTAGTTGAGCGGTCAAGCATGCTTCACTTAGTGCCAGCAAAGCTCACTTGCTCTACCACTGTCCTCAATTAACAAGATATTCGGGCAGACTTACTGCCATGGGAGCGAGAGAGACTACTCGGAACCTTGTAAGTGGCAAAAAACCCTGCGCACGAAACCTTAACCCCTTTTTCGCTATAGACCTTCACGCTTGAACATCTCTTACTGGAACCCTGAAACCTGAAAGCCTAAGCCAAGGGACGGTAGCACAAAAGCAACAGGTAGTCACCCTCGGAACCCTCCTGCCTGCACTAGGCTACCAAGTGATCTAGACCCGTGTCAGCTAGCACCAAGATCTAGACATCGTTACGTCCAAACTGTCGGTCTGTCTGTCTGTCTGTCTGTCTGTCTGTCTGTCTGTCTGTCTGTCTGTCTGTCTGTCTGTCGGTCTCTGTCTGTTTGCCTGTCTTTCTTGGCACAGGTTGTCTGCATCTAAAGATGAATGCATGTAAAATTGTGGTCTGAGTATGCGTAAATACAATTAAATAATTCTCGCCCTAAAGTATGTATAGCACGAGAAAAGTTATTCGGGCTTCCATGTTATGGGTTACGTTCATGAAGCCCACCTCAAGGCTGTGAAGACGCTGTCGGAGCAAAGCGTTCTCTCGCTGCAACGCCTGCCACAACGGAGTTCCATCTTGCAGGCCTAGTGCTTCGGGGCTATGGAAGAGTAGGTGTCAGGATCTTGGCACCGAGACTGAAGAGGCCATGTGAGACAAGGGTTCAGGGCAACTTACACCCTCGAGGATTCGCGGGCCGCGGCACTTACGAACTGAAATCTGCAGCTGCAGCCCAGGTGGAAAGTAGCTCCGAAATCCTAAACCCTAAACCCTAAACCCCTGACAGGGCCGGCCTGGGGGCTGGGGGCTCCATAACCTGCATGCATTGTAAAGCCCGAAACCTCACAAGGTGATACTAAATATCTAAAGCCCTGCATGGGCCTTGATCCGAAACTCATCCCTTTGACGATGTTGCACTTGGGAGGCTAGGAGGGCGCTAAAAATCGGTTCCGTGGATAGCGACTTTTTTTTGCTGGGTCACGGCTCTATGATACGGCGCCCTGGATGCAATGCTCGGCAGCCTAGCTATCAATAGAGGTGGTTCATCTCGGAAGAAGTGCAGGAGCTTGCTTGCTAAACTCTGGCCGGAGGTGTCCGAGCCATACGGGCTTAGGGTTTAGGGTTTAGTGGTTGATGCAGGTTTTGTTAGGAATTTACCAAGAGACTGAGACTGCAACGATTCTTTCTCGCACATCTCATAATTACTGGATAAGAAAACACAGCGCGAAGCAATGAGGGTTTACAAGTCGAAGGACCTTTGCGAACATCTGAGGCCACAATTAGGCGAAGCCTACCTAAGAAGCATGAAGGGTCCCTATTAGTAAGCCACTGACCCTAAACCCTAAACCCTAAACCCTAAACCGGCCTCCGACTGCTTCTCCAGCCATACAAACTTGCTCTGCTGCTTCGCCTTGCTGCTGTCAAGGGCACTGAACCTGTGGCATGCTTCTTGCTGGGAAGGTGCGCGAGGAACTTTGCTCCGAGTTCTGCTCTCGGGTTCTGGGTTTAGGGTTTAGGGTTGTCGGTTTAGGGCAAAGTTTAGGGTTTAGGGTTTTCGGTTTAGGGTATAGGGTTCCGGTTTAGGGTTTAGGGGTTCAGGAAGGCCAAATATCCTAGACTTGGCGAGCACGCGGGCTGTCGGGCTTGCCTCTCAGGGACAGGGTGTTAGGCTGACAGCGGCTTCTGAACCTTCGCATCAAAAAGCCTGAAACCCCAAACCCCAGGCCGTGCATTCACGAAACCTGGCAGCCTGTATCACACCTTCTGGCCACTGTTGCAACAGGAGCTGCGCAGCTGCGCCATCTCCGAACTGTTTTCAGAAGCTGCAAGGTGCAGGGGCAATGAGCCTTTTCCATTAGCAATTTTTACACCATCTGGCCACTGTTGCAACAGGAGCTGCACCACCCGCAAATTGCGACCCGAGAATATTGCCCTGTGCAAGGGCAAGTAGCCATAGTAATCAACAACTTTTATGCCATCTGGCCACTGTTGCAACAGAAGCTGCACCAGCTCCAAATTGCCACGCCGAGCTGCCCCGTGCAGGGGCAACCAGCCATCGAAATCAGCAACTTTTACACTATCTGGCCACTTCTGAAGCAGGGGCTGCGCAACCGCCAAGCTCCCTTTCATGCACTTAGTGGCGCATGCAACGTGCAAAGGCAGGTTTCCCCATTCATCTCTTGCCTGCGCACCTCCTGGCCAAGCCGTCAGCAAAACTTGCAGCACATCCGAAAAACCCAATGAAGCAGCTTCATGCAGCATCGTGGTTTCGCCCCAGTTGTAAGGGTCCCGGAACCGCAGCTCCCCGGCGTCAAGAGTACCGCTGCCAAGGAGCCTGTGAACAACCTCTTCGGCATTGCCACTGCGCACCGCTGACAAGAGCTCCTCGTTCGTGGAGGCCACCGTGGCCAAGACACAAAGGCACAGCACGGCCCAGTGGCACATCATCAGCTACTAGCATTCCCACGACGAGTGCTCCTACTTGCGTCTCCTATGCCAGGAACCATGTATCTCATCACTCATGCCGTTCTCATGGACATGACTGGCCGGCACAGTCACAAGTCTAAGTCTTATTCACGATCGTCCTGCGTAAAACACTCAACTCACAAAGTGATCCAGGTCTTAGCCAGGCCCAGTGTTCTGCCGGACGCTGCTTAGCAGCTCCGGCAACGAACAAATGCTGGGCAGAGGCTTGATCGCAAGGGTCTGGAGGCGCAGCCGTTCCGATACCCAAAAAATCTCATACTCCAAGTCCCGACAAGCCCTGGACAACAGAAACCTGCGTCACAGCCGTGTACCCAAACCCTAAACCGACCGCTTGGTGTTCCGGTGCGGACGGAAATTTATGGGTGAATCCAGGAAAGCATGAGCGCAATCCTGTGGATTACTATGCCGCTGGCAATATCGTGGACGCAGCAACGAACTCAGACAAAAAAAGATGCATAAAGTGCGACAGGCACCTTATCCCTAAACTGCAAACCCTACACCCTAAAATTCTGAACCCTAAAACCTATAAATTTCAGTACCGAATACGCGTCCGAAGCCCTGTAAACTCTCAACCTCTCAACTTCAAAAACGTGCTGCGATGAGCTGAGCCAAAAACTCCTGCTCAATCGGGAACTGAACCTCCGCCTTGTCCTGCCATTCTTTTGGGTTTTAGGGTTTGGAGGGTTTGGGGTGTGGGGGGGGGTTTGGGGTTTAGGGTTTCGGGTGATTTAGGGCTTGGGCGGTTTGGGGCTTTAAGGCTTTTGGGATTGAAGGGTTTCTTTTGGATATTAGGGTTTTAATGTAAGGTTGTCGGGGACTTAGGGTGGAGGGTTTCAGGGTTGGGGCTGCAGGGCCTTCAGGGTTTTAAGATCTAAGGCTCAGGTGCTCCGGTATCAGGCGGCAGCTCTAAGGGTCTCCTAAGGGCTTGAAGGCTTCCTAAACCCTAAACCCTAAACCCTAAACCCTAAACCCTAAACTCTAAACCCTAGACCCTAAACCCTAAACCCTAAACCCTAGACCCTAAACCCATAACGGGGATACAAGGCTCATGCGCCAAGGGGTGTCGGGGCCTGTCGGAATCCTCTGGGGCGCCTTTCAAAGGCAGGGCTTGGGTTGCTGAGGGTTTGTCGGCTGTTCTGCTTTTGGCGATATTCTTGGGTTTAGGGTTTAGGGTTTAGGGGTTTTAGGGGTTAGGGTTTAGGGTTTAGGGTTTAGGGTTTAGGGTTTAGGGTTTAGGGTTTAGGGTTTTAGGGCTTCTGGGGATTCAGGTTTGTGTAGATTGTTGATAAACTAGCTCCATTCGGCCCGTGTTGAAACCCGGACCGAGGTAAATTCATCGACCCAGGTTTCGGGAAGGTGGCCTCCACACCCGTGGGCATTAACTCCTCGCTTAAGGGGCTGGGGTTGGCTGCTTGCTGTTGTTTGACGCAAAATTTCTGCGACTCCGAAACACACCGAGGTCGCAAACCTTAAGTTCATCAACTCCGAAAAAGCAAGTGCAAACACAAAACGACAATCCACCAACTCTGACCCCCTTTCATCGAGAACTCAAGTGCTATTCCAAAACCATGGAATAATCAATCTTCATCTAAATTCATTAAAATGAAGATCAGTGACCACCCCTCCCTAAACCCTCAACCCCGCTACCCTAAACCCCTAAACCCCTCTGCCCTGCTGGCACCTCCCGGCCCCGCGGACTGAGGATGAAGCTCCACTTCGCCCAGTCCTACTCCGGGGCTTCAGGGCTTTTGAAGGTTTTTGGGTTTAGGGGTCTAGGGGATTTAGGGTTTACAGGGTTTAGGGGTCTGGGGGCTTGGGGTTTACACTTACTTATAAGTGTGGGGTACAGGGGTCTAAGGGTTTAGGGTTTAGGGAGTGAGGATTCAGGGTTTAGGGTTTACGGGTCTAGGGGTTTTGAGTTTAGGGATTGAGGATTCAGGCTTTAGGGTTTACGGGTCTAGGGGTTTAGAGTTTAAGGCTGAACTTCGGATTTTTCGGGAGTTAGGGCTTTCGGGCTAAGAGGCAACAAGCGGATGCAGTGGTCGCCATCTTCAGCCAAGCTGGCCTTACGAAGCAACCACAGCAGGAGCTGTAGCAACAGCCGCGGCGCGCAGCGTGAGTGCTAGTATGAGGGGCACAGAAGTCCCCACAATCTGAATTCCGAAAACCGGGCAAATTTGCAAAGCATTCCGGCCCTCTAAACTATATGACAAACATCGCGCCACATGTTCATTCAACCTGAACCGAAACCAACTCTCTCACAAACACTCTCTGGTTTCTGAGTATGCTGTAGAGCCCGGTTTCCGTGGAGCCTTCGCCGGCTCGGGTTGTGGTGAGCTGGGCTTCTTCTGATCCTTGGTACCGAAGAGTTTTCGAAGTGGCACAGCGAGATTACTGGTCAGAAGGGTAGTGGGGCTGCTGATAATGACTCTAAGCAGTACCAGGAAGGTTTGCCACTTATCCGCATCAAGGTGCATAGGTTCTTTCGGCATAGTGGCTGTCATGGTGACCATGCTGTTCAACAACAGCAGTAGAGATTTTTTAGACCAAGACCAGCTGAGGTCCAATAACCCGACATGGGAGTTTCACAATGTAGGGGGCTCTTGCATTTGGACCCTGAGTTGCAATGCCGGCCACTAATCAGCTCCTGACTTTGAGAAACCCCAAATCTGTGGATCCGTCTTGGCTGCAGCCAAAGATCCTCAGCAGCTATATACTATACATGATGTCATACGGTGTGGTGTTTGGGATTTGGGTTTAGGTTTTGTGGGGGCTGGCTGTAAACTGGGGTTCTCTGAGGATAGCTATAACCCTAAGGGTCCATGTACCCCAATAGTATATACATTGGCGTTAATGTAGTCCCTATATAGGTACTTTAGGGCCCATGTATATGCTATATGAAAACATGGACCCTTAGGGTAAGACTGTTATGTAACCTTAGAGGCATCCTCTTTTCTCTTCTTCCACGGGGTCAAGGGAGCTGGTAAGGCCCCCCCGGCCACTTAGGCCCCCTATGTTGGTGGGGCACTCGGGTGGGGATGCGAAAGCTACAGTCTTTTTTTGTTTCTCTCTCCCTCTCTCTCTGTCTCTCTCTGTGTCGCCTCGCTCTCTCTCTCTCTCTCTGTCTCTCTCTCTCTGTCTCTCTCTCTCTCTCTCTCTCTCTTGTCCGCTTTTTTATGTTATTCCCAGACTTTTTCTTCTGGGGACGCTGCCTTGGATCTCCGGATCTGCGTGATGACCGTCTGCCCCAGGCGATTCCAGCTTTCGTCGCTGACCTGGGCCAGGGAATACATGGAGGTTCTGGGAGAGTGTCAGGGTTCGGGGTCAATATGACAGGGGGATGTCCATGAGTTGTTGAAAAGAGAATTAGTATTGCATACAGGCAATCGTGCCTAGCAAGACCGACAAAGTTATAGGGGCCCTAATAATTAGAATAGGGTGTTGGGGCCGGTGATACTCTCAAAGTAGCATTGGAAATTATTTAGGCCCCTGTATTCGCTTGAGTTTGACCTGGTTGTTGATTCTTGCCTTTCCACAAGCCGGTCCGTGGACCCTTCGCGAAGCATAGGGGTCTAAACGCCCCCTAAACTCTCCCTAAGCCATGCTTCGTACAAAATCCTGAAGTTCGTGGATGAGGAGGTTCCGAGGTGTCCTGTGATACTAGTACGTGCTGAAACTTAGGCTTCACAGTTTAGGGTTCCGGATCCTAGCCCTGAAGTAGGCGGCAGAAGATGATGCCACATAAGACTTGTGATAGAAACCTATACAACCCAATAAGACCAAAACCCTAAACCCTAAACCCTAAAACCTAAAAGCCCCATATGGAATCCCTGCTAAGAACCCCTGTAAAGCCCAACAAGGACGAGCGTACAAACAAGCGCTTGGCTTGCCGAGACTGAGACTCCAGGCCCGAAAAATTTCAGGTTTAGGGTTTAGGGTTTAGTATAATGTAGGGTTTAGGGTTTAGGGTTTAGGGTTTAGGGTTTAGGGTTTAGGGTTTAGTATGATGTAGGGGCCTTAATATTTGGGTTCCTTTAAAGGGTTCCTTGAAGGGTGCAAAAAGGGGCTACTATAAGGGTTTCGGGTTTAGGGGCCTTAATATTTGGGTTCCTTTAAAGGGTTCCTTACAGGGTTCAAAAAGGGCTACTAAAAGGTTTAGGGTTTAGGGGCGTTACTAATTAAAGCAGGGTTTCGGGGCCAGCTATGGTATTGTATATATAATAAGGGACCGCCAAAATAGTGTCGGTATTGTTTGCAGGGGGATTGCGGGTCTATTACAGGGCTCATTCAGGGAACTAGAGGGTATCGATGTTGGTGCGAGAAGGGTGTAGGGCCCCGAGTTCATTTATATTTCAGTAAATTGTACCTCATTTATACAGTTGCTTGCACTTATTCGTTAATCGTGCCATGTTTTCGCCTGAGAAGGTCACTGGGTTGTAAGTGGAAGGGGCTACAGGGTTACCCTAAGCCTCCATCATCTAAATCCGAAAACAGCACGCAACAGCCAAAAGCAACACCGTGAAAACTGAAGCCATGTAAAGTCTATTGGAAAGTCTGGGTGAGCGGACCACGAAGACGGCTCCATCCTTGCTGTTCGCTTGGTTTTGGGGAGGCGGAGCCGTGCGGCAATTCTTGTCCAGTTCAAGGCATCTGTGCAACACAGTGCCTAGTAGGAGTAGCAAAAGCTGTGGCAGTGGTGCAGCAGGAGCATGAGCAGGAGCGGGAGCAGTAGTAGTGGTGGTGGTGGTGGCGGGCTGTAGGAGGAGGTGTTGTTGTTGTTATTGTTATTGTTGTTGTTGCAGCAGCAGTAGCAGTATGGTAGCACGAATCGTCGAAATATCTATTAAAACTGTGGCAGCAGGATCACGAGACACGTCTGGGCAGCGGACTTCGACGGTCACGGAGACCGTTCGATTGGGCACCGCCACCTAAATCAAGACTGGGACAGCTTTGTTGCTTAGGGACCCTTAACCCAAAAACCCTAAACCCTAAACCCAGAACCCTAAACCCTTAACCCTGAACCCTAAACCTGTAACCCTAAACCCTAAACCCTAAACCCTAAACCCTAAGCCCTAAACCCTCAACCCTAAACCCTTAACCCTAAACCCTTAACAGGGTGCACGAATTCGGAGTTACGGTGTCAGAGGCAGGGCTGGCGGCTTAGAGGAATCTGGGGCAGAGAGCCTCCCGGCCTGAGACGGTCCGCAAGGTAGGTTTGGGGGTTGAGGGCTTCGGGCTTCGGGTTTAGCGTTTACTTCGGGTTTAGGGTTTAGGGCTTCGGGCTTGGGGCTGAGGGTTGAGGGTTGAAGGTTTGGGGTTGAGGGTTTAGGGCTTCGGGTTTATGGGTTTGGGTTTAGGGCTTAGGGCTTCGGAATTAGGGTTTAGGGCTTTGGGTTTAGGGTAAAGCTTACTTGCCAGGACTTTGGGGCTTGCTTTCGTCTTGAGATGCAGAGGAGTCCAGTTCTGAGTGAGGACCAGGAGGCTTCCAATTTGCGGATCTTGGGGCTTACCCTGGCCTGGGTTTAGGGTTTAGGGTTTAGGGTTTAGGGTTTAGGGTTTAGGGTTTAGGGTTAAGGGTTTAGGGTTTAGGGTTTAGGATTCTAGACTAAACCCTAAACACCTGAACCCCACAGCTTTACGACCTGAATGCTGGGCCTATGGAGCTCTGGCGACCCAGGTGACAAGGACCCGGAAGAAATTCCTGAAGCCCCAAGATCCATGACTCTCAGGCCATTACCTGTAATCTCCATTGTAGTTCCTTTTTTGGTTTAGCAAGTTCTAATATTGAGGAGTTTATAAGGCATCCCCAAAAAGGAACTACAATGGAGACTATAGGCAAGGCCTCAAACCTCAGCGCGAAGTCCACGGCACCGGGCACTGCAAATCTCCAGCCAAATCACATAACGTAATGGGAGCTAGGATTAGGGGGACCCTTGGGGATATAGACCCTCTCAATAAGGTCCCTTTTAAGAGAGCCAAAAGTAAGGTGCAGAAGGGGTACCCTTTAAGGGGTACCCCTAATAATACTACCTACGTAAACCCCCCTTACGTCCCACGCCTCGACGCCATGAAGCATTGAAGCATGGAACCCTACTACAGAAGATCACATCATCAAGCCCTCCTACGATGACTGAAACCCTTTCATCTAATATACCATCTATCATATACTACAATTTACTATGATGCACTATAAGTATCCTATAGTATACTATGATGTATACTACAATATACTATGCTATAAATATCCTAGAGTAGACTATGATGTATACAAGCGCAGAGAAGATCCCCAAGCTGCAGACGCTGCCTCCCAGTCATAGGCGAGGTCTTGTTCGGAGGGGTCCTTCACGAAGGAGCGTCGGTCCTTGAGATACTTGTACCTGCGAGGTGGCGGATTTTGGGATTTTGGGGGTTTGGGGTGTAGGGTTTAGGGTTTAGAGGTTCAGGGTTTTAAGGTTAAGGGGTCAAGGGGTCTTGGGATTCGGGGTAGTACTGGTGGTTTGATATCGGGACTCGGGATTACGGCTAGAGCTACTGGCGACTCTACGGCTGACCATAATGCGGCTCGACGCCGCAGAGTGGGAGAAGTACGAACAGCAATGGGGGGGGGGG